TAATGATTTAGTATCTCATCGTTACAAAGAATATCTCCACAAAGGGAGGGAGGTATGACAAGGCCCATCAGACCTCCATTCTCCTGGCTGGCAACTCAGCTTTAGGGTTTTTCTGGGGTCCTCTTGGCCAAGAGGGGGTCCATTCAGTCAGCTGGGGGGCTTAAGACTTTGTTTTAGTTCACGCCCTGTAGCTGCACATTGGAAGTTGAAAATAAATGAAAAACCCAAGTAATAGCTTCTACTTCCCCTCCATCTTCCGCATGGCCTTTAGAGTTAACCTTCTAAAACACAAACCAGGTTGTGTCATTCCTGTTTGAAATCTTCCTAAGACGATAATAATAGTGGCTAACATGCACTCTGTGTTTCCCAGTGCCAGGCACATCGTAGGTGATTGTTCACTAATTCTGCGACGCAGGCATGGACTTACAGTTTCACCGAGCTTAGGCTTAGGCTTAGGCTTAGGCGGCTTCCCCAGGGCCACACAGCTGGGAAACAGCAGATTTCGGTGGCAAACCCAGCGCCACCCTCCTCATCTCATCGCCATGCAGTGGCTCCTGGGGAGCAGGGGCTTCCCACACGACTCAGCTAGGATGGACGCCGGGACAGCTCTCGAGGGCAGCAGTGAGGCGCTGGGAGGCCTTTCAGCACAGGTGTGACTAAGGCAGACAGACACGGGGCCAACCTGCAGGAAAGCAGGCTGCCGGCACCGTCTGGGACAAGTGACTGTGCCCTGGCCTGGCAGCAGTAGAGGGCGGGAGAGCAGCGATATGAAGGCAGTTCAGTGGTACAACACCAAGAGTTGGTCTTCGGATTTGGGGGCTGGAAAACAGACATGCCAGGGTGGCTGGCTGGTTTCTGGCTTGGGTCACCCACTCAGAGAGGGCACAGCCACACCGAATGGGCTGTATCGGAGAAGCTGGTGCCATCAGGGTGGGCCATGCCGAGGCTGAGGCAGCCATGAGGTGTCCAGAGACTCTGGCAAGCTGCAGACATAAGTGACAAGGGCCCCGGAGAAGTCCAGTGTGGAGATAAAGATTTAGGGGCCATAAACATAAAGCTGTCCCAAGTATTCCCTGCCAAGTTTGATCTCATACCCGAATTTCCACAGCAAAATTTTCACACGTCTGTTTTATCCCTTGAACTTAATAATTATTTATTTTTGTGTCTGTCAACACAACTATACCAAACTCTTATAAGACAGAATGCATAGGCAGATGAGCCTCAGAGAGGCTTAGCGATTTTAACCTCCCCCTCCTGTAAGTGATGGAGCCTAAACTTGAACTCAAATTCTTTCTATTCAAGCTTCGCAGAGCTTCTTTCTCGTGAGCAGGCCCTATGTATTGCAGCAGCCACGTCCCTGCAAGAAAACCGCCTTCACCCAGAGTGGCAACAGGAATGAAAGGAAGAGCATAGTTTGATTTTGTGAATACATTGTAATATAATAAAAACAAAAGCTACCTTTATTGCACACCAACGTTTTGTCACACTATAGACAAAATATCCCGGATGTTCACTCTTTAATACAACCCTACTCTAAGGAAGGTATAGGACCCTTGTTTCACAGATGAAGAGGCTGAAGTTAAGAGTGGTAAAATGACCTGCTCAAAAGTTGTGGAGCCAATATTTAGATCCAATCTATCTGATTCTAGAAAGACAGGCTATCTGCAGCACATCATGGTGTTTTGAGTTTATGAAAGGTAAATCAGTAGCTAGTCTTTCCCTGTCTATTAATAAAGGGAGTTATTTTTAGGTTCAGATGTTAGATTATGAGCAGCGTGGGCACCTCTTGCTGTTGCAGATAACCTCTTCAATCAGCCTTCAGCCTATTTTGAGCTATGTTTTGAAATCCTTATGTGCAATCTACTTTCAATCATGCATAATTCTAGCAGAGCCCTGCAGAAGCAGGAAATGATCAGAAGGGCACCCTTTGAGGGGTGGAGGGCACATACAGGGTGAGCCTACACCACCAAGTGGTTTACAGATCTAGTGGCATATACTCCTTACAACAAAGGATACAATACAGATTAGAGCAGAAATAGATGTAACTGAAACAAAAAGTACAAAAGATCAATGAAATGAAACATTTTTTAAAAATGATAAACAAAATTGACATACCTTCCACCAGACTAATTAAGGAAAAAAAGAGAGAAGACCCAAATAAATAAAATCAGAGATGAAAAAGGAGACATTACAACTGATACTGCTCATTAGAGACTACTATGGGCAACTATATACCAATAACTTGGAAAACCTAGAAGAAATGGATAAACTCCTAGACACATACTGCTACCAAGACTGAACCAGGGAGAAATCCAAAACCTGAAGAAATCAATAACAAATAACTAGAGAGAAGAAATAATAAAAACTCTCCCATCAAAGAAAAGTGCCCAGGACCTGACGGCTTCACTGCTGAATTCTACTGAGCATTCAAAGAAGAATTAATACCAACCCTACTTAAACTACTCCAAAAAATCAAGGAGGAGTATATTCTCCCAAACTCATTCTACAAGGCCTATACCCACCCTAATATCAGATACCATCTTCAGCCTTCAGATGAAGATGTACCCCAAAAAGAAAACTATAGACTAATATCTCTAATGAACACAGATACAAAACTCCTCAACAAAATATTAGCAAACCAAATTCACCAATACATTAAAAAGATTATTCATCATGATCAAGTGGGATTAATTGCAGCGATGCAAGGATGGTTCAACATTCACAAATCAATGTGATACATCATCATATCAACAAAACGAAGGACAAAAACCATATGATCATTTCAAGAGATGCTGAAAAAGTATTCAATAAAATTCAATATCCCTTTGTGATAAAAACTCAAAAAACTGGGTATAGAAGGAACTTACCTCAACATGATGAAAGCCATGTATGACAGACCCACAGCTAGTATCATATTGAATAGAGAACAACTGAAAGCCTTTCCTCTAAGATCTGGGACAAGACAAGGATGCCCACTCTTACCACTGTTATTCAATATAGTATTAGAAATAATAGCTAGAGCAATCAGAGAGGAGAAGGAAATAAAGGGCATCCAAATTGGAAAGGAAGAAGTTCAATTTTCCTTGTTTGCACACAATATGGTCTTATATCTAGAGAAACCTAAAGACTCCACAAAAAACTATTAGAACTGATAAACAAATTCAGTAAAGTTGCAGGATACAACATCAATATACAAAAATCAATAGCATTTCCACATGCCAACTGTAAACAATCTGAAAAAGAAACCAAGAAAGTGATCCCATTTACAATAGCTACAAATAAAATAAAATACCTAGGAATAAACTTAACCAAAGAAGTAAAAGACCTCTATAATGCAAACTATAAAAATTGATGAAAGAAAATGAAGAGGGCACACAAAAATGGAAAGATATTTCATGCTTATGGATTGGAAGAATCAACATTGTTAAAATGCCCATTCTATTCAAAGTGATCTACAGATTCGGTGCAATTTCCATCAAAATACCAATGACATTCTTCACAGAAATAGAAAAAGTAATCCTAAAATTTATATGGAACAAGAAAAACCCAGAATAGACAAAGCTATCTTGAGCAGAAAGAACAAAACTGGAAGAATCACATTATCTGACTTCAAATTATATTACAGAGCTGTAGTAAACACAACAGCATGTTACTGGCACAAAACAGACACATAGACCAATGGGACAGGAAAGAGAACCCAGAAATAAATCCATACATCAATAGTGTATTTGTCTTCTTGACAAAAGTGCCAACAACATACAGTGGGGAAAGGACAGTCTCTTTAATAAACGACGCTGCGAATGCTGGATGTCCGTATGCAGAAAATGAAACCAGATCCCTATCTCTTGCCATATATAAAAATCAAATAAAAATGGATTAAAGACTTAAATCTGAGACCTGAGACTATGAAACTATAAAAGAAAACATTGGGGAAATGCTTCAGAACATTGGTTTGGGCAAGGACTTCCTGGGTAATATCCCAAAGCACAGGCAACCAAAGCAAAATTGGACAATGGGACCACATCAAGCTGAAAACCGTCTGCACAGCAAAGGAAACATCAACAAAGGGAAGAGACCACCCACAGAATGGAAGAAAATATCTGCAAACTACCCCTCTGACAAGGGATTAATAATTAGAATATATAAGAAGCGCCAACAACTGATAGGAAAAATCTGGAATAGGAATAATCTGATTAAAAAACGGGCAAAGGATATGAATAGGCATTTCTTAAAAGAAAACGTACAAATGGCCAACATGATAATATGAAAAAATGTTCAACATCATTATTCATCAGAGAAATGCAAATCAAAACTACGAGATATCATCTCTCCCCAGTTAAAATGGCTTTTATCCAAAAGACAGGTGATAATGAATGCTGGTGAGGGTGTGGAGGAAGGGGAAGCGTTTGTAAATTACTGGTGGGGATGTAAATTAGTGCAACCACTTTGGAGAACAGTATGGAGTTTCCTCAGAAAACTGAAAGCAGAGCCACCATGTGAGCCAGCAACCTCACTGCTGGCTATGCATCTGGAGGAGGAGAAGTGAGGGTCTGCGCGGACATCCGCACTCCCACATCTGCTGCAGCGCTGTGCACTGTGGCCAGTTGGGAATCAACCTAAGTGTCCATCAGCAGGGGAATGGACAAAGAAGTTGTGGTGTATACACAATGGAATATTATAAAGGCACAAAATGAATGAAATCCTGCCATTTGCAACAACACAGATGGAACTGGAGAATATTATGTTAAGTGAAATAAGCCAAGCACAGAAAGACAAATCTTGCGTGTTTGCACTCACGTGTGGGAGCTAAATACTAAAACAATTGATCTCATGGAGACAGACAGTAAATGACAGTTACCAGAGGCTGGGAAGGGAGCATGGCACAGAGTGGGGGTGGGTAATGGATACAAAAGTATATTTAGATGTGTAGACAGAATGAACAATATTTGATAGCACAAAAAAGTGACTGTATTCAACAAGTTAGGGTATACTTTAAAATAACTAAAAGAGTGGAATTTGAATGTTCCTAACACAAAGAAATGATAAATGCCTGAGAGTAATACCCCAATTACTCTGACTTAATTAATTCACCTTGCGTGCCTGTATCAAAATATCACGTGTGCCCTATAAAGGCAGTTGCACTGTCACATACCCATAATACTAACAATAATTAAACTGAAAACCAAAAGGGCCCCCTGGCCTTTCTGGTGCAAAACTGGCCACATCAACTCTTCTGCTCTCCAGCTGCTGACTCCGAGTGCCTGCTGGTGCAGCGAGGCGGCCACGGGCCAGCTGGTCGTGCTGGTGCACACCTGCCCTGAGGAAGTCATCCCCTCTCGAAGGTCCCCGCCGTGGCACTCAGTGCACGCTGGCGGGAACTGCAAAGAAGACGTGGTCTTCAGGTTGCCAGCGGAAATGGGCGTCCACAGCAGGTAAGCGTGTTAAAGAGTTAGAGCCTAGGATTCCCCGTGTAGGTGGTGTGACGGCAGGTGGATCCCTCGAACTCTGAGTCTCGGCGTCACTGGCTGTAGGACGAGAGTGGGGGTGCCCGCCTGGTCGGGGGACGAGGGTCACTAAGAAGCGGGTTAAAGCAGTTGAAAGCTCTAGAGCAGCCCTCAGGTAACAGGTGTCCCTTGGTCCGTTTTCTTCCCCTCCCTGGTGACAGGTCTCCCTTCCTAATGATTTCCTGCCCTCAGGAAGGACCCGCAGCTGAACTCTGCCTGGCCCAGGAAAGCTCGGGTGGCGAGGCCCAGCTCCGTGAGACACTGCGGGTCGCGCGCTGCCACCAGGCTGGGAAAGGCCGGGGCGAGCAGGAGCATGTGGTCGGCCTGCAGGGCTTGGGTGCCGTTTATTTGTTGGCAAAGGTGTGAGGGCTGCCACGTGTCCTCTGATCAAGGCCAGAAGAAAGGACAGGGTTTTGGTGCTATCAAATGTGAATCCTGATCATACTACTTATTATAATGGCTTTATGATCATGTAAAAATCACTTCAGCTTTTTAAACCACTGAGTGTCCTCATTTGCAAAACGGGAAACATCACCCAGGGGCTGGGACGTTTCCTGGCACCTGGAGAGCCGGAGGGCGAGTCCTGCTGCTGAACTCCGCACTCGTGTTGTGCCCAGACACAGGAAGTGATGAAAAGCACGTGGCTCTTACGATGTAAAACAAAAGTGGGTTCCATTATGAAGAGCTTTGTGTGACATATATTGATTTTTAGGAGTTCCCTTAATAAAAATGGAATATATAATAAATACAAAATATAAGAGCAGAGAACCTTGCCTTCGACATATACAGCCCAGTATTATGCAGCCTGACAGGCAGACGGGAATGGAGGGTGAAGGCCTCCTCCAGGGCCTCGGCAAGGCGGGAGTGAAAGGAGTGAGCGCTCGTGTCCCCGCGGTGTGGGAGAGCGTGAGCCACCCAGTTCACGAGCCCAGATCCAACTGAGTCCCTGAAAGTCAGCATGTGTGGGGATGTCTGTGCCTTCTGCGCGCAGTCTGTATCTGCGAGCAGTGCATCATAGACAAGCAAGCACTGGTGGGCAGGAGAAAACAAACCTCTCTGTCTTCAGATGCTCCCGTGGAACTTTCCCTGGGGCTAGTCCATGCCCAAGGCCTTAGAGGCCTTCTTGGCATTTAGAAAGTTCTTCTTTTTCCTGGGAGGAACATGCAATGAGATCTCCGGCTCCTTCCAATTTCTGAAGACAAAGAGCTTTTCGCCTGTGTTGAATACATCAGTGGTTTCTGCCCCTACAAGGGGTACAGGGGCCAGTTTGCCAATGGGCTCCAGTGACAGGTGTGGCCAATTTCCTTTTCCAGAGAATATCATCCTCTCTCTGAGGGGCAGACAGGTCTTCTTTAATATGCTAAAGAAAGAACACAAGATCAAATTCAACAGCTTTGGCAACTGCCCCTCTTGAGTGTTCTGATGCTTCTTTTTCTAAATCTTCTCTAGTGGGAATCACAGGAGACACTTGGCCCACGGTTTGTAGCCCTCAAAACCACGATGTCCCTTCCTTCCCTCTGTTCTCCAGGTGTGCAGTGACCGCCATCAAAAGACAGCAGAGTTGGGGGTGCAAAGAGCACAAGCCTGGGAGGGAGTCTGGAGAAATACAGAGGGCAATCACAGCGTCCCGAACCCATGGCGACTGCTCACAGCACAGGCCTAGGGCCTTGCCTCTGACCTCCTCTGCTTCAGTTTCATCCTTCCCACTTTCTGGAGTGTGCAGTGCAACAAGACATGGAAGGGTTTTGTGAACAGGAAAGTCTGAGTAGCTATAAGGAATTCTTCTTCTAATTATAACCATTAAAAATAGCCATTAGCCAAAATAAATACAATAATTAAGATGCTAATCAATGTTTAGAGAACATCCTTCGATTGCTAGCTACAGGCTTATCTCAGCTTCTAAGCCAAGCCCACTGGAGAAAGAGTGTGGTGTGCAGGGAAGGGCAGCTGTCTGTGGTAGCAGCCCTCCCCTTCCTTGTGGCTCGCAGGCAGCGTGGCTCCCTGACCCCAGCCACCTGTGCAGGTGCCCGGCATTACCTCTCCTTCCTCTTGCATGCCCAGAGCATCTTTTCTAATCCTCTGCTCACCAGATCTCCGCGCAGCTTGCTGTCCAAGGCTTGCCACCAGCCCTGGTGTTCCCTGAAGGCAAGAAGGGAGAGTTTATGATTTCAGAAGGAATAGCATCGTCCAGGGATTAGCAATCCTAGAGGCCCCACAGGGCGCCGTCCCTCCCGTGTTCACCGTTTGTTCTCTCATCCAGTCTCTGCACACAGACCACACACCTCCTTGAACCTGGGCAAGATGCAACCTCTGCCCTCAAGGAGTCCACAGTCCACGGCATCATGGACAGGTGACAAGTGACATCAGTCGGACAGAGGAAGGCTGCCAACAGTGGAGTATCTTATAAATATACGAATAGAGAAGCTGAGAAAGCACAGTGGGAATCTGGAAGGTGGGCTAAGCCTTCGGCAGGGAGCCCTGAGGCCACATGAAGGCATCTGGTCCCAAACTGAAAGAGAGGGGCCTTGGGCGTGCTGCCAGGTTAGAAGGGCGCAAGTCACACCAGTAAGAGACAGCGTAGAGCTGAGAGTCCTGCCTATGGCAAGCTTGCTCCTCTGCCTCGGCGGTTCACACCGGCCCAGCTGCTGGTGGAGACGGAACTCGTTCGCGCTGGGCGAGGCAGGCTGTCTCCCGGGAGTGACCTCCTGAGCAGAGAAGGACGGTCTTCCGACAGCAGCACTCAGAGAGGCCGGCCCACTTCCCTAGCGCTGCCTTCCCGGGGCTCGGCCCTGGGTTCTGACCTGTCCCTCAGCACACTCTGCTCGTGCTGAGGCTGCTCGGTTTGCACTGCTTGAAACCCAAGATGCTTAACTTGGGGTTATGCAATGGCTCGGCGCCAGGTGCTTGGCACACCACAGTAGTGACTGCCCTGCCCTCAGAGTCTAGGGTACATGGCCTGGGACTCCAGAAGCCAACAGTCTGCTTGGCCGTGAGGCTGGGCAAATGACGAGCATGGTCATGCCCATGGTAACAGCTGCCCCGAGTCCTCTCGCCTTGTCCCAGCTCAGCCCGCCCACCCCTCAGACTAAACTGGCTGAAAGGGTAGCCCCGAAACAAGGTCCTCATGGGTGACCCTCAGGCAGAGGTGGCCTCCCTGTGAGGCCACCCACTCCAGAGTCACCTTGAATACTTGCCATTACATGTCCTCCCAGGCAGTAGGTGGACTGGAAAAAACTAGTCTGTGAAATGCAGCTCTCAGACCATGCCCACCCTCTGACCACAACCACACCAGCACACCCGGCCTCTGGCCACAGCCACCTGTGACAGCCCACGCCCCACCCACAGCTGTTTCCTTTTTCCCTCCCACGCCCACCCCAGGCCTCCTGTGTTCACCTGCAACAGTGCTGCTTGCTTTTTGAGTCAAGAGGCCCCTACAGCTCTGATGAAAAGACACTGCCTCTTTCCTCAGGAACGACGACCTCCACACACACCTGTCCACACGATGAGGCCTCTCCAAGGCGCACTGCTCCCCACGCCCATCCCGCCTCCGCTGGTCCTGGCTGGGCTGATCGTGGCACTGCGGCTGGTGCTCAGCGCTCAGTCCGGCCACGGCTCCTCACTGCCTTGTCCCCGGCTACCCCGTTCTCAGTGGCATTGCCCCGTCCTCAAACCGGCCTCACTCCACACCCAGCTTCCTGCCTTTCCTTATAAAAAGGCTTTACCAGCCTAATTCACACCTGAACACTGATCATAAAACTTCTATGCAGAGTTATTCACAATTCAGGAAAAAATGGACCCAAACTGAATGTCCAGTAACTGGGCAAGTTACAGCCACTACAGTATGTATACACACTGTAGGGTACCCCTCTGTGGAGTATTGGAGCTGTTAGAAATAATATCTATTAAGGGTTTCCAGTAACAGTGAAAAGTATGAATTTTAAGTTAACAAAAAGAACAGGAAATACAGTCTATCTAATGGGATAAGAATTATACAGGAAGATGTTTACACATAGATGAGAGTTGAAATGTAATAGGGACACAAACCTGCTTCTGCTCCGAGCTTCCACAAAATAGGCCACACACGCTGCCTGCTCACCACACACTCACACACAGAAATATGCCTATCTACACACACAGCACACACACGTCTACACGCAACACACAAACACACACATGCCCCTGCACACACACCAACACCACACACACAATACACTCACAAAACTCAGCATAAAAACACATTCTGGGCCGGGCACGGTGGCTCACACCTGTAATCCTGGCACTCTGGGAGGCCGAGGCGGGAGGATCATTTGAGCTCAGGAGTTTGAGACCAGCCTGAGCAAGAGCGAGATCCAGTCTTGACTAAAAATAGAAAGAAGTTAGCTGGACAACTAAAAATATGTAGAAAAAAGTAGCCAGGCATGGTGGCGCATGCCTGTAGTCCCAGCTACTCGGGAGGCTGAGGCAGGAGGATCGCTTGAGCTCAGGAGTTGGAGGTTGCTGTGAGCGAGGCTGACGCCACGGCACTCTAGCCCGGGCAACAGAGTGAGACTCTGTCTCCATAAATAAATAAATAAATAATTCAGGAGGAAGAAACGTAACAAAATGCTAGCTTTTTTCCAGGTGTAAAACCATGGATATTTTTTTTCCTTTTATGCACTTTCACATTTTCTTTAATGGGTGTGTATGACCTATTTATGGCCCTGGGGAAACTTATTTTGTTAAGATTGTACTTGAAAAATAAATTGGTGACAAAGTTAGAAAGTATGGATGAAAAACTTGGTCCTCTCATGACGCGAGGGGTCCACAGTGCCCTCGGCCAGGGAGGCGGCGCTGGGAGGCACCGGTGTCTGCTCCGCCCTGGCGGGTCCCGCGGTCAGGCCCGCCTCGCCGCGCTCACCTCCTGCCCGCGCAGGCCTGCTCCGCGCCGCCCTCGTCCTCGGCAGCGAGGTCCGGGTGCTTCTCGCTGGCCGACTCCAGCAGGGCCAGCAGCTGAGACTGCGAGGCCGTGGGCAGCGCCACACTCAGGAGCCGGCGCAGCGTGGCCACAGGCACCGTCGTCATCCTCAAGAGGTAGGACGTCAGTCTCAGCTCCTACAGGAGACAGAGGGGCTCAGGCCTCGCTGCTCCTGGACTTGATGAACAGCAGTTCTTTAATTTACTACAGTCTTAGGACATTTTGTCCTGGTGATAGATGTTTTAGTGGCTCAGTCTGGAAAACATGTCCCTGCACTCGCAGAGCTGTCAAAAGAGCCTATTTGGTCAGCACCCTTGGCTCTCCACGGCATTTCTAAAGGCGCCATCCACCCCTCGCGAGGACTCTGCAGTCACTGGGCAGCGCCCAAATCACGACAGCAAAAGCCCCGTCCTGCAGCAGGGCCACTTGCAGTGTGACCTTCTCCTCCTCCCCACAATCCCTGAGGCCACACGGCTTTGGGGCAACAGTCAGGCTCTGGAAACAACTGGGGTGTCCCTAGACCAGGGGGCTGTGGCAGACACTGTGCTGCACCCCCACCACGGAAACCGCCCTGCCATCAAAAGCAAGCACAGGACGGACCTCGAGGGCACTCGGCTAAGTGGAAGCAGCCACTCTCCAAAGGCCACCTGCCGTAGGGTGCCACCTTGCAACAACCAGACGCGACAACACGCAGCGTCGAGAGGGGATGGGGCGAGTGCGACCAGAAAGGGGCAGCTCAGGGAGGCGTTGCGGTGGTGGCCTGGCTCTGTGTCTTGGCAGTGGTGGGGTGCTGGCCACACAAAGCCACGTGGGATAAAGTGACAGAACGCATGCACATTTCAGATTGACGCCAGCTTCCCGGGCTGGGGCTGCACCACAGAGCCGCGGGCAACTGACCGCGGGCAACTGACCGGGGGAAAACTGATTGGGGGAGACTGACCGGGGGAGACTGACTGGGCGGAAACTGACCGCGGGGAGACTGACCAGGGGAGACTGACCAGGGGAGACTGACCATGGGGAGACTGACTGGGTGGAAACTGACCGTGGGGAGACTGACTGGGCAGAAACTGACCGTGGGGAGACTGACCAGGGGAGACTGACCGCAGGGAGACTGACCAGGGGAGACTGACCGTGGGGAGACTGACCAGGGGAGACTGACCGTGGGGAAACTGACCAGGGGAGACTGACCGTGGGGAGGCTGACCAGGGGAGACTGACCGTGGGGAGACTGACCAGGGGAGACTGACCATGAGGAGACTGACAGTGGGGAGGCTGACCAGGGGAGACTGACCAGGGGAGACTGACTGTGGGGAGACTGACCAGGGGAGACTGACCGTGGGGAGACTGACCAGGGGAGACTGACCGTGGGGAGACTGACCGTGGGGAAACTGACCAGGGGAGACTGACCAGGGGAGACTGACCAGGGGAGACTGACCAGGGGAGACTGACCGTGGGGAAACTGACCGCGGCGCGGGGGCCGCCGCTCTCCATGCCAGCTTTGCAGCTTCCTCTGAATCTAAAATGTTTCAAAATAAAAGTAAAAAAAAAAAAAGAATAGACTCTCCCCACTGTGCAGACCGCGTCCCTAGGCCACATCCTTACTTCTCTTCATGCTTCAGTTTCCTCGTCTGTAAAGCGAGGGTCACAGTAACACCTGCGGCAATGGGGTTTGTGAGGACAGAACGAGCCAGGGCACGGAACGGTCCGTGCCGAAAAGACACAAATAACGACCACTTCTCCAGGGACAGGTGGGCATGCCTGGCCACCTGCCGGAGCCCTCCCTAGGACTGCATGTGACAAAGCTGGAAGAGACAGAGACAGAGAAGCACTCAGTTTGGCCACGCCTGGATTTGGGTGCTGGAAGGAAGGCCTTAACTCAGGCTGCGGTGGCACAGCGTCCTCCGCGTGCAGAAAGCGTGAGAGCGCGCAGAAAGCGTGTGAGCGCGCAGAAAGCGTGAGAGCGCGCAGAAAGCGTGAGAGCGCGCAGAAAGCGTGAGAGCGCGCAGAAAGCGTGTCAGCGCGCAGAAAGCGTGTGAGCGTGCAGAAAGCGTGTGAGTGTGCAGAAAGAAACGGGAGGGATGGCAAGGCAGAAAGGCCCAGAGTCCGTTGGCCATTTGAGTCCCTAAAGCTCAGCCTTGCTCTTCCGAGGGATGCTCAGGGGACCCATCCATACATCTCCTTTTTTTTTTTGAGACAGGGTCTCACTCTGTTGCCCGGGCTAGAGTGCAGTGGTGTCATCACAGCTCACAGCAACCTCCAACTCCTGGGCTCAAGCAATCCTCCTGCCTCAGCCTCTCAAGCAGCTGGGACTACAGGTGCCACCACCACAGCTGGCTAATTTTCCTATTTTCTGGAGAGATGAGGTCTCACTCTTGCTCAGGCTGGTCTTGAACTCCTGGGCTCAAGTGGTCCTCCTGCCTCGGCCTCCCAAAGTGCTGGAATTATAGGTGTAAGACACCACACCGGGCCAATACTTCTCCTTTTATGCTCAGACTAGCTTGAGTTGAATTTCTGTTACCTTCACCTTAAAAGAATTCTGACTTGGCAAAGCATCTGAGCGTGGTTCCTGATAAACACCGGTGCTGAACAATGCCGGCTGCTGCTGTGGTGGCATTTGTGTGAGTTTCCTATTGCAACTGACAAACTGCCGCAAACCTGTGGCTTAAGACAACAGAAATGTATTCTCCTACAGTTCTGGAAACTGCAGTCTGCAGTTTCCCGGGGCTGATGCAGGTGTGGGCAGGGCCGCGTTCCTGGCCTGGTGGCCGGGGCAGAGTCTACGTCCGTGCCTCTCCCTCCTCGCCTGTGCTGCTGGGTTCGCGTCCATCCCCTTCCTCCATCTTCAAAGTGCATCCCCCAAAGCCCGCCTCCACCCCTGCCCCGCCTCTGACCCTCTTATAAGGACGCAAGGGCAGGCCAGGATCGTCTCCCCAACCAAAGGCCCTAACTGAATCCCGCCTGCACAGCCCCTTTTGCCACATAGGGTCACACTCACAGGTCCCAGGGATGGGGACGTGGTCCTCGCTGGGGGCGCTTATGCCGCTGCACAGCACGTTAGGCACTAGCGTGTCTGCTCACAAGCTCAGCCGACACCACGGCGTGTCCTAGTAGGTGCCAGCCCCCGTCCCAGGGCTGGAGATGGGCAGTGGTCACGGTCAGCTGAGGAGACAGGTGCAGGCGTTCAGACTGCCCCTGCTAGGACGGAACTCAGGCAGCACAGAGGGACAGAGGGTGGCAGCGTGGGCAGCGTGCAGCAGGCGTGCAGCTGGGGGGAGACGCGGCCGAGGCCCGAGCCACCGGGCACCCAGCACGCACGGCCGCGCCTAGGAGCCTCAGCAGCGGCCCACCCGGAAGTGGGTGTGCGGGTGGGGAGCCAGGTCTGGGTCCTGGAAGCCAAGGGGGGACGTGCTCAGGAGGGAGGGCTGTGGCCAAGTGCCACCGAGAGACAAAGACAGGGACGAGACCACCTGCAAGCACGGAGTTGTGGACGACCTTGACACATACTTTCAGCCACGTGACAGGAAAGGTGCTGTTCCATACCAGCCTCCTGTGGGCCCCCCACACCAAACTGCTCGTTCTTCCCTGAATGTCCCGCTCTCCCAGGCTGGGAAGCCCTAGCCCCTGAGCGTCCTCTGCCCAGAATGTGTTCCCGCAATCTGCCATCTGCCCAGCTCTCTCCAGCTCACTCTTCTGGACCCTACACCACCCTGACCCTGCATTCTGGAACAGGTGTCCCTCCTCTTGGCCCTCACTGGTTTTAACCAACTCTACTGTCACTGTCCTGTTTCTACTATCTCTCCACCTAGCTCTTAGGATGAGGTCACTGCCATTTGCCTCTCTGTCTCCAATGTTCAGCCCAGTCCCCAGAACAGAAGAGGTGACCAACACATGCCTGTGGCTATCTTGTGACTTCACAAATGCCCTGCAGACTCGCCTGCCCCGGAAGCAGGAACTCGCCCTTTATAACTAGGGTCCCACCCTTGGACGTGGGACAGACCAGCCCATGGCCATAGCCCTTCCTGCTCAATAATCCTTGGGACAAGTCAGTTTGCTGGGTCAAGTCTTCCTCAAAGGGGTGACACAGAAAGCATCCATGTGGGTCCCTTGCTTTGAACATCTAGTGCCACTTCTACAGACAGAAATGGACCACAAGCAAAGCAGGGACCCAGCTGTCTGCACAGAGGAGGGGAACTGCAGGGACCGGTGGCCAGCAGGCCCTCTTCCCTCCTGCCTCCCCGCCTCTTCCCATGGCTCTCGTCCCCTTTGCTTGCTCAAGACCCCAGGAAAACTGTGGCCATGTGCAGACACCAGGGTGGAATTCTGCCTTTAACCATATAAGGATGAAGAAGGAAGGAGGAGGAGGAGGAAGAGGAGGGAGGGCCGAATGAGATTCCTTGGTTATTCTTTTCTCTGGTACAAAAACGAAAGTAGCAAAACATGGGGATTTCTCTAGACTGGGTGTGCAGATTAATAATTTCTGGCGTCAGTTTGGCTGGGCTACTATGCCCAGATGTTGGTCAAATATTACTCTGGGCGTTTCTGTGGGGGTATTTTTGTATAAGATTAATACTCAAATTGGTGGCTTTGAGGAATGCAGATTGCCCTCCGTGGTGTGGTGGGCCTCGTCTAATCAGCTGAAGTCCTGAATAACCCAAAAGCCTGACCCACCAGCATGATGGAATTCTGCCAGCAGATGGCCTTTGGACACGAACGGCGACTCCTTCCTGCGAGTCCAGCCTGCCAGTCTGCCCTGAAGAAGCTGGACTCACCAGCCTCCACAATCACATGGATTTAAATAAATTCCTTTCTATGTACAGACAGATACACGCCGTGGCTCTTTTTCTCCAGAGAACTCTCACTAATAGACAGGGGTTGGACACGAAGATCTAGTGGGGTGGACGTTATTGAGGGGACTACACAAAGCATGAAATTGTGGGCAGAGAAAAATAATGACCCTATCTGGTCCCCACGACCCAGAACTTCCAATCTGGCAGCATTTACTCACCGCAGAGCCATTCTTCAGCAGAGTGCTGTGGTCTCAATGTCTGTCTCCCTCCAAAATCCTGCTGAAGCTCAACCCCAGATGCAACAGCCCAGGGCCCCTGGAGATGATCAGGCCATGGGGCTCTGCCCTCAAG